AACTAAAAAATTCCGTACAATTCCGTGCCTATATTTGCATCTCCCCGCATTTAAAAAAACCTGCGCCTGGGGTGATTTTCGTTTTTTTTGGTTGCAATCCAAAATCGCTAATTTCGCAGGAAAAAGTAAAATTTCCCCAGCTGATCGTTACGTGGTGGTGTGGCCGGATCCCTCTTGTCTAGGCCAATTTTAAAATGAAAACCGTTTATATGGAATTTCGTACGTACTCTCAATTTGGGTTAATCTAAGGACCGGAGTGTTTCGGAAAATTTTGGAATCCTAGTTTTTGAATCGTATGTTTCGCAGGTGAGGGTATATTAACGCATTTTCGTCAAATTGATGAATATTCGTGTATTTTGTAATATTAACCTATCGATCGAATAATCGATTCGAAATTTAATATATCCAAAAGTTAGTATTTAAGTAATGTTTTTGCTAAGATTAAACTATATTTGAACTGAAAACCATATTTTTATGTGAAACTCATTCAAAAATCTGAAATTTTGAGTGACAACGGTAGGTTTTTCATTTTTTTAATACGGAAGTTGTTAAGCCGTATTTGTTATTAATAAAAATGTCGAAGTATTTCTAACAAATAGGGAAACACTTAAATTAAAACAAAATTGAATACTTAAGAAACCCCCCCCCGATACCGCGACAGAACCATAAAAATCTGAGTAAATCCGAGAAGTTGAATTTTCCGAAACACTCCCCTTGTCACTTTTTATGTCCCTGGTCTTTGTCCTCGTCCACAAAAACTACGTATTTTTCTTTTTTCTTTATTTTCTAAGCTATCTTTTCTTAAATTCTACCGTCTCTTTCCCTCAGCTTCTCTCCACGGTTCATACTGTAACCACTCCAAAATACATCCGCTTTTTTTGGGTTCGCCCAACGTAACCGATAGGGTCCACTATCCTTTGGTTATTTTCTACCGTACCCCATAGTTAGAGCCCCAGCTTCTCTAATCTAATTTAATTCCTGATTTAATTTCATCCATCCTTGAGTTCAGCCCACAGTGGAGCACCAGTTTTTGTGGAGCACAAAGTGTTGAGTATCCCCCCTGATTTTATGCCGTCAAATGCGACAATCAAATTTGATACATCACGGGATTAGTAGGGGGCATGAAACAAAGAACTAATCGCGACTAGATTATACCTAACAGTACCTAACAGTATGGAAAATATCATTCTGTTTTCCAAAAAAAGTGTTTATGAGAATTTCAAAATCGAAAAATTGTTAATCGCTGTAGTAGTAAGTTTTCCGACGACCATTGAGCCATAAAGTAGTCTTGCGGAGCCCAAAGTGTTGAGCATAATCCTGATTTTATGCGAAGACGCGAACATCGTATCTGAAAGCGCCGAATAAAACGCAGCTAAGTAACACCTACCAGCGGGAGGAGCCGCCGCGACTCTCCCGCTGACCTCGTCTAGGCACTATGAACTGGTCGGCCTTTTGAATCCCACTTACAATACAAAGATGATCTCCCACTACCTCTTTTGTACTCAATAATCAATCGTTGTGAAAAATTGTTTCGTCCTCCTTTCTCGGCCTGCGGCGCAAGCTTGAGCGGCTAGCTTCGTTTCAAAGCCTGCGGCGCAAGCTTGAGCTGCTAGCTTCGTTTCCAAAGCCTGCGGCGCAAGCTTGAGCTGCTAGCTCGTTTCAAAAGCCTGCGGCGCAAGCTTGAGCGGCTAGCTTCGTTTCAAGCCTGCGGCGCAAGCTGGGCTGCTCGCTTGTTTCAAAGCCTGCGGCGCAAGCTTGAGCCCTAGCTTCGTTTCAAAGCCTGCGGCGCAGCTTGGGCTGCTAGCTTGTTTCCAAAAGCCTGCGGCGCAAGCTTGAGCTGCTAGCTTCGTTTCAAAGCCTGCGGCGCAAGCTTGAGCGGCTAGCTTCGTTTCAAAGCCTGCGGCGCAAGCTTGAGCTGCTAGCTTCTCGTTCAAAGCCTGCGGCGCAAGCTTGAGCTGCTGGCTTCGTTTCAAGCCTGCGGCGCAGCTTGGGCTGCTAGCTTCGTTCAAGCCTGCGGCGCAGCGAGCTGCTAGCTTCGTTTCAAAGCCTGCGGCGCAAGCTTGAGCTGCTAGCTTCGTTTCAAAGCCTGCGGCGCAAAATTTAGCGGCCTTCTGCTTTTATAAGCCTGCGGCGTGCGCCGCAGGCTTAGGAAAGAAAGCAACCATCTCAAGCTTGCGCCGCAGGCTTTGAAACGAAGCTAGCAGCCCAAGCTTGCGCCGCAGGCTTTGAAACGAAGCTAGGAGCTCAAGCTTGCGCCGCAGGCTTTGAAACGAAGCTAGCTGCTCAAGCTTGCGCCGTAGGCTTTGAAACGAAGCTAGACGCTCAAGCTGCGCCGCCAGGCCGAAATAGGAGGACGAAACAATTTTTTCACAACGATTGATTATTGGTACAAAAAGAGGTAGTGGGAGATCATCTTTTTGTATTGTAAGTGGGATTCAAAAGGCCGACCAATTCATAGTGCCTAGACGGGGTCCAGCGGGGGAGAGTCGCGAAGCGGCTCCTCCCCCGCTGGTGTAAGGTATTATTTAGCTGCGTTTTATTCAGCCTTTTCGATATAAGATTTGATGTTCGCAGTCTTCGCATAAAAATCAGGATTATGCTCAACACTTTGGGCTCCGCAAAGACTTTTATGGCTCAATTGGTCGTCGGAAACCTTTACTACTGCAACATTAACAAATTTTTGATTTTTAGAATTCTATAAAACACTGTTTTTTGGAAAACAGAATGGAATTTTGCATATTGTTAGGTACCGTTAGGTAAAAAACGTGTTTCAGAAAGTTTTAAAAATCGGAAATTTTTTGAAATAGGTTGTTCTACTCATAGTCGTTCTATTGAAAAACCATTTTGGCAAAAGATGCTTGATCCTATTTCCAATCTGTATAAATTTTTATATCGGAACTAGGTCACGGGGTTCTTAATCTAGCATTTGGAATGCGCATCCTAACCAGCGCGCGATATGAAAACTTCGGGCTCAAGTCTAGGCAACCCCCCCCCAGCCGACTTTTCAACTTTTCTACCTTCCTTATTTTTAATTTTCACTACTTTTTTCGACTGAACTGCAATGTAGTCTTACTAATTAGCCTACGGCGAACATTTTGGTATACTTTAGAGCTCGCTAGCAAAAAGGGGGGCCGAGATACAAAAGTTGGTGCCGGCTGGGGTTGGTTTTCTTACCAAACTTCGATCAATGATTGTCACAAAAAAAACGGGTTTCATGGATTCCAAAGATTAAAAATATTTTTAAACAGTCAATTGGTCAGTCATGCTATTGTATCTCTTTACTTTTTTAACCAACGACTTACTGCGCATCGAATTTTTCAAACCTAAATCGAGGAAGCTCTGAGCTTTTTTATTACCCCTCACCGTAAAAAAATACCAATGTTCATGAAAAAAAATACAAAAATATCGACCGACCAAAAAAACTACTAGAAATGGCGTTAAATTTTGAGAAAAAACAATTGATCAATTGATTTTCACTTAACTTTCAAGACTCTGCTGGGTCGATTGAATAGAAAGTAAATTTCTAGATCCCTGAAAATCAAGAAACACTGTTCGAAAATTCACATCTTTTAAAAAAATTTCCGTGGTTCGTAGAATTCTAGCACTTGCAAAATCCTTCGAGACGTATTAATCCTCTTGTAATCCTCGTCTTCTATCAAATTTGATTGTCGCAAAAATTATAAAAAAATGGTGCGCCCCACCCCCACTCTTCTGTTTTTCTCTCCCCTCTCCGGGCACCCTCCCCCCTATCTTTCGAAACGATACCTATACGGTACCGTAAAGTAAGGTAGCGTACAGTACCGTACAGTATAGCATACAGTATCGTACAGTACCGTACCCCCGTCCACCCCACCACACAACCGTTAGCTGGCCGTTTCTGGAATCCGGAATCTCTCGCCGGAGGGTATTACGGTCATTTTGAAGTTACGGTATTTGGCAAAATCTGAAGTTTTACTATAAGAAAATAAGTTTCAATTCTATAGCCTTAAAAGGTTACGATATCACATAATTTACAGAATTTATGTAGCTGGTAGGCATTCAAGGCGTAACGGAGTCTAAATTGAGTTATATTTTTGCGGCTGAACTAGCATTTTTTATGAAACATGATTTTCCGGCTTTTCCGATGACTTTTATCGCTTTTCTTAATAGCAGGTCTGTAATCTTGGAAATCCATGATTGCCTCTAACTGTTTATAAATAAAAATCACCAATATTTTATATACGAAGAAAGATCGTTAAACCACACTTTATCGAGTATATATAACGTGTATGCGTTCATCTATCAGCTTGAACTATGGTGAAAGGTTTTAGGTAACATTTTTTTGGATTTTTTCGATCTAATTAAGGAGCGTAAATTTTATAGTTGCAGAAAAGCACGCTAGAACATAATTTTTACAATTTTTAGAAATTCCGCGAAGACCTTTGGCTGCATAGAGTATAATTTTTTCCGCGTAACTACCAATTTTTATGAAACTTTTTTTGCCATCATTTTTATGAGGTTTTTACGTCATAGCAAGCCTGGTCCCAGCTAGTCGTAAAAACTACATTTCTACCTAATTTATCGAATTTAATAAAAATATAGTTCTTGATTTTTTGAAGCCGAGATTTTCTTGCACGAATATTCAGAAATTTTTCAGATTTGGGTTATTTTTACCTGAAACATGTTCTTTGATGAACGATTTTCAAAAATATAGTAAACATCATTTTTTAAAAGTGGCTTTAACATTCAAAAATTTGCCAAATATCAACTACATAATGACCGTATTCCCCTCGAGCAGGCTGCTAATAGCGATATTTTGGGTTTGCTCCTGGGTTTTTGCGCGGACGCGGGTTGTCTGGTTACGGTAGCAAAATAATAATCTAAAACGTGATTTTTGTAATTCATAAAGAATTTATTAAATTAAACTACCGGCCAGTCAACCCGTTCGGCGCAAAAATGCTTAGGCTAGTGGTTTTGAGGCGAAATGGCCGACAAATTTCTCTAATTTCAGTCTTTTTCAGCAAGTGTTAACGAAGGAGGAGGAAGAGCGGATATTTGCCGAGTACCACTATACGGGAGAATATTACACGGGTAAGCGAAAGTAATGAAATTCTTACTTTAAATTTACTGTTTTAAAGTCTTACTTGAAATAGAAAATAATGCCTAAATACAATGTGATCTGAAAATTTTTAACTTGCTCTGCCAACTCAATGTTTCAAAAAAATCTAGTATTTTCTGAAAAAATGGGGGGTTAGTTGGCCGCGAGCAATACTTCGATGATATAATCTTAAATAAAATAAAAATAGTAAAAATAAATATATATTACACGGGTAAGTCAATATATAAGGTTTCATAATTAAAAATCTCTACATTCGAATTTTGTCGCGTAAAATCAATGTTTCAGGACATCTTGTAGCTGCCGAAAAAATGGATTAGAGATTCAGACATTCGGTGTCAAGACTAATAAGAAACACGCGAAAACATAATTTAATTTCTCATAAAAACTTTCAATAAAATTCATTACCAATTTTTCGCTGTTAGTCCCGGTGCCCTAAATTTTGAAATATGCTTAGGACTACCGGAGAAAAAAATGTTTCGTATCAAATTCTAAATTCAGAATTTTAATCCCCTTTAATGGATTCGATTACTTGTGCCTAACAATTTCATCTCTGGTGTCGATAAATATGTTGGATATAAAATAATAAGGTTCGGTTCTAATTGTAAGAAATAAATATTATTCCTAAATATTCCTTTCTTTCCCAGGTGCAACAACGAATATCCATCCGCTTCTCTCCTCACTCGTCAACTACACGCATCCCGTCAAATTCTCCGGTTTCGACGTCGCCGAGCGTGAGTTTAATTTTTATAATTTTATGTTGCTACTACTAAATAATATACATAATTTATCCAATCAACAAATTTATGATATACAAATTAAAGTATTCCAGTTTTACCTTGAAATGCGTCCAGAAATCCGAACAAATGTGTCAAGAAACTTCGTGGACACCTGATTTCTAAATTTAGTTGATTTCGCATCCAGCAGCTCATTTATTCGTATAGGAATTATAATGGAGCACCAGAATTATTTAGTTTTAATTTTTTAATCGTTAACTATTTAAAATGGATTTATAGAACAGTCTTCTTCTTCAAAATTGGGAATGTTCGCTAAAATTTTTGTAACGATAAAATGTTGAGTAAGAATTATAAACAAGCCAAATTTACAATCAGATTAAAATATCAATAATAAAAGCTTTCATCGATTTCAAAAACGACGTCCTGTTTCCAATTGTTAATCCAACCATTAGAAAACAAATTTTCCGGGGGAACACAAATCAGAAAAATACATTTTTTCGTCAGCTCTTCAATTGCATTTTTATCAGGGTTATATTCTTGGGATAAACTTAACAAACTCCATCAATACAAGCATTAATTGCTAAATTTTACTACTTTTATTAAATTCCATTGTTTAGAAAACAACCTCCACTTCCACATGTCGTCCTTCTCGGAGTCGACGGGTCTCGGCTACTTGAAGTCGTTTGCCCCCGAATTCGTCAACTACAACAAGCGCCAGCTGAGCAGAATCTACCCAAAGGGAGCACGAGTCGATTCGTCCAACTTTTTGCCTCAAGTGAGTCTTTGAAAAAATATGTTTTTGAACATCTGGGTTACCATGCGCAGTTTCATTTTCGAATTCCTGTAGTCGAGATAAATTAAGCCATAAGGTCTAGTGAACTTCTTCGTTTTTGCAATTTAATTTTAATTCACATTCACATTTAATTAATTTACTCATAAATTAGAAGCATATTTTTGTGGTGCGCCGTGAGTGAGATATTCTGGTAGTTACAGTAATTATAGTGGTGACCAGGTTCATCAACACGACGATTGGAAATCTATGTTTCGAAAATAATCGTTGATCAACTGATCATACCCCCGACACTATCTCCATACACGTCGTTGCCAAAGCTCCAAAAATTGGGAAACAAAATTATTTTGTCTTGCTTTGAAGTGTTTCGCGAAAAGAGTTTGTTTGTAACATTGATTATCCCTCACCCACTATTGTTTTTTTGCATCAACGAGTCTAAAAAATATGTTTCGAAATACGGCCTTGCCGAGTAAAATGTCTTGTCGAGGATATGCTTTGCAATTAAGCCATAAGATCTAGCGAACTTATTTGTTTTTCGATTTAATTCACATTCAATTAGCTTAATTAAAATTCAGATATATAATTTGTATTGCGTTGTGACATTTTCTGGTAGTTAACGTAATAACCAGGTTAATGAACGCGTTAGTTGAAAATGTATGTTTCGAAAATAATCATTAATCAACCGATCATATCCCAGGTAATTCATCCATCCTCATCGTTCACAAAGCACTTAAAAATTTGACAAAAGAAATATTGTGTTTCTAATGAAATATTGTGACCAAACAGCCAATAAAAGTGGCGGATGGTTAAAGCCACTCGTCAAGCGTGAACTTTCACGCCCACGAAAACGCAACGCACCGATTCAGACCTGCGTATGCGGTTCGTGGTGTTACCAGAACCTTCAATTTATTTCTTGCAAGCTAGTCTTGTTTTATTAAAAACCACCGTTAAAGGCCCCTGTTTTAAGCTTGTGAAACTATCATGTTTCAAATATCGTCATGCATTCCGCGTTTCTTTTTAACTGAAGAACTCGCGTCATGCGTTGGCAAGATCTAACCCAAAAAACCACAAGAAAGATCTGAGTTGCATGACAACTAAAACTGCAGAATACAGCTTTCCCAGTAGTCTAAAAAATGGGTTTAATGGAGCATGACGAGAAAAATTTTTATAGCCTTTGAAAAGCCAAAAAAGGATATTTTTTATAAGTTCAAAAAAAATGCTTCAAATATACAGCTAGTGCTCCAGGGATTCGTTCAATTAATCATTCGTCTTCTTTCGTGTGGGCGAAATCACCAGCCAAAAAACCAGCCCAAAATTTTAGTGGTAAATTATCGATAACGCAATCCAATTATTTATTTTTACGATCACATTTCTGCTTTTCAGATTTTCTGGAACGCCGGTTGCCAGATGGTGTCGCTGAACTTCCAGACGCCCGACGTCTACATGCAGTTGAACCAGGGAAAATTTGAATACAACGGCAACAGCGGATATTTGCTCAAGGTAAAAGAATAAGCTATATTTAGATTTGCATGATATTTATAGAGTAGATTTATATACAGTATATTCATAAGCTAATTCGGTTTTAAAGGATCCGGGAAGCGCTGGATTTCTAATTTTATCCGAATAAGCGCTTTAAGAAGCTTACCTAGGTTAAAGCGCCCAATTTAATAGGCAGATGGAGGTTAATGGTTGATGGAGTCTCGTTTTTATTTTTTGTAAAAAAAAACACGGTTGGTGCCAATGCCTTTAATTTAGATAGATGTAGATAGATCGCCTAACATTGCTGACAATAACATTTGGATTGAGCCAGCCATCGTACACCTAAACGAAACATAAGATTTAGAAAAATTCTAATTTCTAATTTTCGTAACAGCTGGTGACTTTAATTTGCGTAGAAAATCCATAGTGTAGCGGGTCTGAACTCAATCATGATTGAAGCGGTATTTAGTCACCCATGAGTACACCTAAGCAAAACATATACTTCTTAAAAAAGGTTTTCAAAATTTTGAAAAATTTTGCTTACAAAGCTAATAATTTACAATATTGAAATTATCTTAACCTTGATTTAATTAAATCCATTTTCCAGCCCGACTTCATGCGACGGCCCGACCGGTCGTTCGACCCGTTCTCCGAGAGTCCAGTGGACGGGGTGATTGCAGCGCATTGCAGTGTTCGGGTAAGTTTTTGGAAAATCGACAAAAATAAAGGCTGCCACAGCATCAAAAAATATTGTAGCAAAAATTCCGGTTAATTATCGTTTATTTACGGAAACATTATTTTTTTTTGATGATCCGGTCTGTTTGTTTCGTTAGTAGTGGATTGAAAAACGTTATCTAAGCGTCACGAAAAATCTTAAATGGGGTTAAGGCAGTGTTTGTATTCTATTTTTTAAAACCTCGAAGTACAGTAAAATTTGGTGTTAAGCGAGGGGTAATTTGTAAAATTCAACATGTCAAAATCAGAAAAACATTGCTTAAATCGCTCACCGAAGATCCGTGAACATTTATATTTTTAAATTACTGACGGTTTTTTGTAGAAACCTCTATTTAAAAAAATATATATATAAATGGCAATGCAGAGTTAAAACCGTGTAAATTCGTTAACTTCACTTCGGCGTGCTATTTTCCGCGTGCCATTAATTCAGCCTGATTCCACTGGTTGCGATCTAATTTTGAAACACTTAATTTTCTCTTTTTCACGTCGAGTAAAACTTGGCGGTAGGGTCCAGGAAAAATTACGCCAAAAGTTTCAAGTGTAAATTTTAGTGCAGGACTTACAAAAATAGGATTTATCAAAATTTCAGAACTGCCATATTTTTTGCAGCATTTGAATTTTATGCCCCTTTTTCTAGGTAATCTCCGGACAATGGGTATGCGAGCGAAAAGTGGGCACCTACGTGGAGGTGGAAATGTATGGACTGCCGACAGATACCATCCGGAAAGAGCACCGCACAAAAATCATCCCTGCCAACGGCCTCAACCCCGTCTACAACGAGGAACCCTTCGTTTTTAGAAAGGTATCGATTTTTCTAGCTGGAATTTTCGCCATTCCCATTTCTAATTATTTTTCGGGATTTTGTGAATCTTATCTCATTTTCTTACTAGAATTAGTAGACTATCGGAATCGGTGCAACTGGGCAATTTTCCGAAAAATTAAAAAATATAAAAATCAAGAGGCGAGACAAAATGATAATCAAATATCTCTTGCTTTTGCAAACGAAAAAGAAAGAGCTATATTGGCTATAAAATGTTTCGCATAAGTTCTGGATCACGCCGTAGATTTAGAATTTAACAGAAACCGCTGGGTCGTGCGAATTTTTCATTGATTGCATTATTATGAAGCCCTTATTTATTTACAATGTTTGCTCTAAATTACCGGTTTCCTTCGGTTTCGGTTCTTTTTTATTATTTTGCTTCACTAGTTCCTTCATATTTAGACCTTCATTGTTAGAAGGGTATCGATCTTCCTACTATATATAAAAAATAGTGTTTGTGTGTGTGGGTTGCATTTGCATACAACTTCCGTCCGTATGTTCCAGTCGTATCTCAATAGGGGAGGAAGTTAAGGGTACGTATGATACGTCATTAGGTGCGTAATGGTCATGACACGGCTGCACGCATATGAGATTTTTAAAAATCAGCAGTTTTCGATATTAAAATTAAGTTTTTGTTAAAATCTCGCCCGGCCTCTTTGTTAGGAATCAATTTGCATGCACCGGAAGTGGGGGAAGCCTAAATAATGGAAGAGAGGACGCCCTTTTCATTTTTCTGCACAGGAATTGAGGTGTTTATGCAAAGTTGACGAAGTATGGGGGTAAGACGGGGGCCAGGGGTTGAAAAGCCGCTTCGCGACTTTTCAACCCTGGTTATACCTTAAATTTTCAGATTCCCATCTCCAATTATTTTCGAGCTACCGTATTTTTAAAATGATTTTTGTGGAAGATTAGCGGAGCATGACAATCGGCAGAGTTAGGCAATTTTCCGAAACACCGATAAAGGGAAAAACAAAAATCAAAAATACAGTGCCAAAGCCGATGTTTCACAACCTTCGTTAGCCGGTTACATCGCAATTATTCGAAATTAATGGAAGGGTTTCTTGCTTTCAAAGCCAAAACACCACGCGCAGGGGCGTAGCCAGAAAAAATTTCCGGGGGCTCCGAAAAATTTTTGGTCACAAAATTGATACATTAGCGAAAATACAGCGCCGCAGGCGAAAAATTTGGTAAAAGTAGGTTGCAGAGCATTAAAATCAGTCGTAAAAATCTCAATAATTAGCGCCGCAGACCGAAATTTTTTGAGAACCGAAAATCATAAGGGTCCCTTATGAACTTTTCGGGCCCCGGCCAATTTCGGGGGAGGGGCCGGCCCCCCGGGGCCTATAAGACGCTACGTCCCTGACCACGCGAAAGACTGTAATTTGCCATAAAATGTTTCGAATAGGTCTTGGATTAAGAAGAGTAAGAATTTATATCGCATCCGTGTGCTTTTCCGTTAATTGCGTTCGGCACCAACCCCGTATATTTCGCCATAATTTGAACTTAAGTTCCTTTATTCTGAAGAGTTCCAATAATTCTTTGACTAATTCCTTAGAAAGATTTTCATAGCTTAAGTTTTCGTGTTACCCCACCTCAAATAATTTGCAAAATTTCGGCGTTATTCAGACGTAGGAAGAAGGGGACAATGTGCGATGACAATAAGGACAAAGTACAAGATTTTCCGAAACATCGAGTTTCTTAAGCTGAGAAACCCATAGTGAAAGGTGTTTTACGACATTTTCAGCCGGTATCGCCGGACATATTACGAATTTTGCTGCTTTTTCTCAAATCCTTAACTTTTTCGCCAACGAAATCAGATTGTCGGGACTTTTAGACAGTTCCGTGCGTCTTTTCACCAATAGGTACGGTTTCCCGAACGCTCAATATTTTACTTCTCAACCTCTTTAATCATGCCCGTCGGATAATTCCATTAATCGAGTAACGGGCTAAACACTTCTTCAACAAATCTGGGAAAAGAAAAGGCACAAAACTAGGGCTTTGCTTGAAACTCATTAAATTAATCCGGCCATCAGTATCGGAATTTTAAACAGAACCGTAATCGCGAAAGCTTGGTCTTTCGTCAAATTTTAAAATTACAAATCCGTTTGGCAGACAGCCCAGATTTTTCCGTGAAACATTATAAGTTCATAATCATACTCCCCTTCCAGGTGGTGCTCCCCGAGTTGGCCGTGCTCCGCTTTGCCGTCTACGATGAAAACGGGAAACAGCTTGGGCAGCGGATTCTGCCACTTGACGGATTGCAGGCTGGCTACAGGTAAAAACGGCCCAAAAAGGAATAACTTTTAAAATGCGAAAATGATGTTTCGTGAAAAACGGGTAGTCGGCTTCGATGCGATTTGGCAATCTACTCTTGAGGGTAAACGGACAAATCGCCGACAGCCAACCCGCCGACGGGCCATATCCAAAAATATTGCTAAATTGAATCAGTTGTCTTCCGGAAAATCGCAAACAATAGATTTCCAAACAAAAACTAAAAACAGCATCTCAAATGTTGCTACTAGTTATTAAAATATTGTCGTGAATGGGGGTGCTTTCGCATTATCGGGGAAAATCAATGCTTTTTTCTTTGGGCTTCAATTTTGTAAACATAAATCGAGGCTTAGCTGTTTTTTACCATTCCTAAATGTACCACTTTGATTAAACAATACAAAAATATCGACTTTTGGCCAAAAAGACGATTTCTGACCAAAATTTGAAATTCCGCAAGTTTCAGAGATTTTTCAGTTAAGTGTAGTTACGTTCTATTAAAATACTATTAAAATCCTTATTTTTATGATAGACAGATCCTCGTTTTATCGGGGAAATTAGCCCCCCCCCCCCACCCTAGACGAGAGAACCAGGATCAGAAGAATACGTGTTTCCCGAAATGTCGAAAACGACTAAAAGCCGTCATTATTGAGCGTAACCTACAACATTTTAATCTAAATAATCTTGTAACACATAATTTTTCAGTGTTTGATAGTAGCGAATTATAGCAACTAGATGCAAATTAAAAATGGCATTGAAAAATTACAAATACAGAAGACGCTAGAATTTAATTTTTTTGAAAAGTAGGTTCAAGTTTTCAAGTTAAAAATAAAGGTATCATGAAGTGGGAAAATCAAGCCTTGGATCCTAAATTTAATTTGTGGCAGTTTTCGCATTATTAACTTGAGTTTCATTACTAGGCACATATCCCTGCGGACGGAGACGAACCAGCCGATGTGCTTGCCGACGCTGTTCGTCCACCTCGTGCTGAAGACGTACGTCCCCGACGAACTGTCCAGTAAGTTGTTATGGAAGCAATTAAACTTTTTAATCTGGTATTTTGCAATACTATTAGCTAAATAGTTGCTTTTAAAGTTTTCAAGCGAAAATTCAATATTTTTAAAAGATACCAAAATGGATGAAAAATTATGTTTCGTTTCTTTTCAAAAAGTGTTGGAGTACAGTGAGGCAATAATTGAAGCCTTCTCTGATGAATAATGTAATTTCGTTATTTTTATTATTTTTTGTAATTCGTATGCATTGATATTTTGTACTGCTTATGCATCGATACAAGAGTTTTGTTTAATGAAAATTTAGCATAGACGTGTTATCGCAATTCCAAAAAATTTTAATAATCTAAAGCTAGAAATAAGATCGAAACCTCATAAAAATTTTGCCCGAAAAAATTTATGTTTCTTTGTGAAAGAATAACCAAATAATGCTGGCCTGGTTAATCATTGCCGAACTCTATGGCATTA